GTGGAACATGACGAAATGGGAGGGATAAAAAGAAAGCTACGTGCACATTTGCACAGCCAACTATCTACTCGTTTCGTAAAATTGGTTACTCGCACGTGCTCCTTGATCGATTTACTTCATTAATTACATTCGATTATACACTTTGGTTGCACCGTGCATTTTATCCGATGCGATCGTTAGGTATAAGCGAATCTTCCGAGAGAGAGACAGAGACGACAGGCGGAATTAATTCCCCCTTTTCGATGCGTAGGATGATCAATAACAAGCGTTGCGTGTGAAAGATTAAAGTTTAGAGTAGAATTAAACTCGCGCCCGTTACCGGCTATAAATCGTCTCCGCATGATGGCCGGTGTATTTAAGCTGAGCTTAATTTTGAAACGATGATGCATCGGTTGTAGTGTCGAATAATGATATACGTATATTACCGATGACGATGATAACAACAGGAACGTCGCGCCTCATAAATTTCGTCACCGAATAGGGGGTAGTTTTCTGTTTTCCTGCCTCGTGATCGATTCTATGTACGTACAACGTACCTCGATTCCCGCTTTCAACAATTAACGCGTGAAATAAAACGCGGTGGAAGACGAGCGTGTTGGACGAGGAAAAATTTCGTACGTTTCTGCTATACGTAGTATGCAGCTGCGAGTCGTGCGGCAAAGATCGTAAAGTTTGCTGGAAAAGTCGCGAAAGTCGTTGGAAGAGAAGAGGACGACGCTTTTTCCAGCAGGCAGTTGATGTTCCGCTCTCGCGACGAACGAACGTTGCTTCGTACCGGATAAAAGCACTGCCTTGCAATTTTACGAACGAACGAGCCGCTTCGTACGTTTTTCGATTATAAGGCGATGCTACATCTTCGACTCAACTTTTCGAAATACCCGACGACAGTTTTCCAACTTTTTCCCACGGACAACTATCGACGATTGGTTCTGCGAAAACCTCTCCAGTTAGGGAATTCCTCTGACGGGCCAGTTTGTAATCGCGTGGTCAACAAAAGGGGAAACTCTAACGAACGGGATAACGCGCGAATAAGCACGAACACGAACGCAGGTTTCATTCTTGACTCCGGCAACACATCGAGTCGTGTACACGCGAATTATGGAAGGAACACTCGGAGAACCCCTTTGTTTGTGCAACATGCAGGCACGGGACGTCGCCGCTAAACCGAAAGTTGTCGACCGTCCAAGTCTGCGTAGTCGATCAAAGTTGCACGATGTCGTTAGGCACACTCCGACGAGCTCCTCGTGTTATATGCATAACGGAATAACAAACTACCAGACTTCTCTGCCGGAGCTTCCATACCTCAGAAATTCATCTCCCTGCCGGCAGATGTTTCATTCGTCGTCGTCCATTATTTTTTATTCGACGAAGACGCGTCGGGAAATGTCTCATTGTTCGAGCTATTAGTTTTACTCCACTGTACGTTGACGTAGCGGTTCTTTGTTTTCCTTTTTCCTCCCTAATTACACCGGACTGATGAAATTAATGGCAGCGAAGTGGTAGACGCAGCACAATTAACGACGTTCTATTATCATAATAGATTTAGCGTGCCGCGCAGGGAAATAAGGTCGTCGAATAGCGATCGCTCTCCGCGTCTTCCCACTTTGGAGTATTAATTTTCGTGGCACTGTCTCCTCGCATTTTTTGCCGAATTTTCAGAGTTCCACGGTTTGTATACGCGAGGGTATTTATTCGTAGCTCGAAGGAGGGTTCTTTTCGGGGTAGTTATTCAACCGTTCGTTCCTTGTTACGACTCGTCACGCTGTTGTGTCGTGGATATTAATTAGGTGCAACATGGTTCGTATCTGCGTGTCGCATTAGTTCTCGATTCTCGATCGAGAGAGAGAGAGTGGCGTGTTTCGAAACTTTGTCTATTTTGCACGGTCAGGAATGATATAATTGGTGAGTAGCGCTGCACCTCCGGCGTGTTTACTACTGCAAGTGGAAATTATTATTATTTAGCGAGGTTTCGCGACGTTGTTTCGCCGACCTCGTTACCGGTTCGACTCGTTTTCTGGATCGTCGACTCTTCAATTATTCTCAGCAACGACAACTTGTTGTTTTTCGACGATCGTCGCGACACCGATAGAAAACGCTACGAAATTGTATCGAGAGAAATATGACTCGAGAATGAATGATCCGCAAAGATGGACGAGAATCGTATAGGTATATGTACGCAAACATACGGTTGTAACTGGTTCGCGGGGTTTTAGCCGTGTGCGTCGATAAATAACCAAGTAAAACCGACGCTGAACGTTTGTCGCGTCTAGTGATTTGTGACACGGTAGTCTGCAGTCTAACCATCGAGAAATCATTTTCCTTCCCCGCCTATTTCTTCTTTCTATCCCGTCGAAATCGCGTTCCGATGGATTCTCTTTTTGCCGACGATTCAACGAGTCGGGAGATGGTTGCATCACGCTCGATTCACTTGCAGTTGAATTACCAAGAGACCCTGGGTGAAAACGTTCTCCCTACGTCTCGCAAATGGGCCAATTATAGTTGGACTAAAAACCGAGTTCCCGAGTTCTCCGTCTAGCGATAGCCGAACATATCGATTTCTAATTGAGCAAATTTACCCCGGGATATCGGAGCAGCCGTTCTTCTTTTTCGGGGTTATCGCGGAAGATTTCGAGACACGAAACTGTCTGTCGATGGGAGTCTACACAAATCCGGACTCGTATCCGCGCGTGTAGAGCAGGGGTGTATGGCGGCGCGGAGGCACCAGCATACCGGAGATTCGATCGCGCGCGTAAATGAGAGCGAGCGTGTACGCACTGTCCGGTAATGGAAGGTAGGAAATAGCTTTCCGACAAATGAACACGCGCAATGCCTGGCATACCACTCGGGACAAGGTTTCCTCGCGCGACCCAACGGATCGTTAACTATAACGCGACACGAGAGATGCCATTCACCCTCACCCTCACCTCCTCAGCTAAGAAGCTGAGATCCACTCGAATCCATTCGTCGGACGATTTAATGCACGGCTTAATTCTTCGATCAGCGAAAACGGGTTTCCTCGCGTCAGATACTTGGGCTAAGCTACTCGAAAGAAGGGGTTGCAGGTTGGTTTGCTCCTCGGCCAACAATCTCCTCTCTCTCTGTTTTCTGGTTAGCTCGATTTAAATCGCTCGGTCAGCCGAACAGAAGCTGATCGTCCGCGATTAATTTCCACCGTTCCGCAGACACCGAACGAATACGTTCGCTTCTCTTTTCCACGCGTCGCTCGTCCTTCTCGGTGTAATCCTCGACGAGATTTTCTGATCGTTAAGGTATGTCAGATGCGTTACGGCGTCACGAGCGAAACATACCACCGGGACAGAGATGCGAGCCATGTCTGACGAAGCACGTATCGTTACCACTGACAGCTCCAGGCTGACGTTGATGGACACGTCTCTGTATCGCTGGCCACGGCCACGGCCACGGTAAACTGTACAGTTATGGGCCACTTTATAACAATAATGGCTGGATTTTACCAAGAACGTCCTACCCTGTTTCGGCAGCGGTCTATGCTAAAATATGGAAACGATTTACGCGACGATTCTTTTCCTTTCGTAGAAGACTCGGCCAGTAGTTGTCCGTTTATCCTCCGCGGAACGTGAAATTTTATCAGGCTGTTTTCGAAGAACAAGTTAGCCACGAGTAGTACTGTGAGTGAACTATGCTCGCGTAAATAACGCGACTTACATCGGTTATTATCACCGGTACACCGACAGAGTAGAACATTCCCTTCAGACGTTTTCTACCATCGACCGTTTCGCTACATAATTTTAGTTTATCATCGGCCTACAGCATCATTACGGGATTATTCCGTTCGTGGCCACCATTCTGCATCACCGAATTGATTCTTCGCTGTGCGAGGAAATCCACAAGGGAGTCGCTATTGAAATCACCGTATCGATTCCAGCGAGACTGCGCCATAGGTTTATTAGCGGTCCGAGTTTAACGTTATTTCCTCCTACCCTTTGACCGTGAAATAATTTCGTTCCACCGGTACAGCGATAACTCGCTTTTCTTCCACTCCTTCTTATCTCGGAACTCGGTTAAACTGATAATAACGGACAGCAGGCGAACGTGATCCTCTGTATGGCGCCTCGTTCCGGTAAGATTTCGCGGAGAACAGCGCGGAACACGATTATTCGTCGGTCTAATGCCAAATCCCTCCCTCCATATATGTATGGGTATACATTGGAAACGAGGATAACGGTGGATGCATCGAGTGGCCGATCAGACGCACAGTCGTAAATAAACGGATAACGATACCTCGTATCTGTATCCAGCTAGCAGACGTTTCTGGCTTACGTTATGCAGGTAAACGTTGGCAGGACACAGATTGGCTGGCACGTAATTTCGTGGTATAGCTCTCTATATGCCGTTCCCGCGACTATATCCATGCCCGTGTACGTCAGGGAAATCCATTGGAATCGAATTAACCGGGAATCATACGATCCTTGCTACAAGTCGAATTACTGCGCCAGGTGTCAACGAGAAACCATACCGTATCTTTGTTACCCTGCGATACGACGTGTGCACCTGGTTTGGGAATTGATTAATAACAGACACAGGTCTCTGCTGGTCATTTGCTGGCAAGATATTCCCTGTAATTTCATACGATGGTCTGAGTGATCCAGTTACGCGGATCGATATAGTCTTGGAAGGAAACGTTCGGTTCCTTAAACGTCCACTAGGATTGATTTTACGTCTCCTCGGGTTCTAATTAACATCGCGGTCGAGTATTTCGAGCGATGAAATAACGGCACACGTTTTCTTTCACGAAAAATCAATATTAGTGGAGAAGTCACCTATTTCAGGAACCTCTTTAAGCCAGGGACATTTAACTTGCTTGGTTCTGGTTGGAGAGTAGAGGCCCCCCAACCTTTCTTTCGTCCTGGCCGCAATCCCGAGTTTTTCCAATTTATTGAAAATTAATTGAATCGAAAAGGAGAGAAAAATGGTGCTCTATCTTTCGTGCAGTAGAACCCGATGCCGGTAGATATACTCACAGTGTACTTTTAGTTTCCATCGTTCCTCGATCCCAGCCTCCTGCAGCTTCGGATTCGTTGCTCGACACACGAGAAACTTTCCTTCGTCTTCGATCGAAGGTGTCCAGTGCAGTACGCTCACGCTTGTTCCGTCTTCCTGAAACTGATACATAAAAACTGTATCTAACAAACTTCAACACTTGTTACGTTTAAACGAGTAACGTTGGTTGAACCGGTGGGGAAATTGGCCGGACCGAGGGAAACCCGTTTCCAACAATTATATTCTAAAACTGTACTGCATTTCAGAAATAAATCTCCATGACAATCGGTGCCGCTCGAGGGAACTTGCTCCATATTAATTCTTTCTCCTTTTGTGTCTCCCGTTGTAAAACGTCCTTGCCCGACCTCGCAATTCCTTCCTATTGTTAACGGCCCCACCGATTTTCACGATCTCGTATATTGCCCATTCATTATGCGTTATTCCGTTTGTCTCATTCGTGAGAGAAAGAGACAGAGAGGGGAATGAAAGAATCCGCGTCGAATAACCAGCGAATCTGAAATTCGCGTGGTGCATTGACGGCAAGGCGAGAGTTGCAAAGCGAACAGCGGGCATATCGAACGAAAACGGGCAACACGAGGAATTTGAAATCCCCTCGAAAACGAGCCGAAGCGTTCCTCTGGCGAATTTATGGCGGCAGCGTTGTCGAAATTTCGCAACCGTTATTCATGTAGATTCGGGGATGGAAAGTGTGCGTCGCGTCGCGTCGCGTCGGTATAGCGCACACGTTCTCCAAAAAGGCGAAACACGTATTCTAGAATTCGCCACGCCTGCGAAATTAAGATGAAATCTCTATAAAAATTTGTTACACGCATGCAGAATGGTTGTTCCTTTGTAAGCTTTTATCTCGATTTCTCTATCCAAGGGAGAAATTCGACTTTTATCGAATTTGCGACACCGTTCGTCCTCCTTTATTCATCGGAATCATATTCTCCTTTGTCCCCCGGGTTCGATGTTCCTGCATGTTATGCTCCCATGGTGACGCATGGTCAAAGCCGCGTCCACGTTCACTCTGTTTCCCATTATTAATTCGCGGCTGTTACCTTCATTAAAGATTCATCGTTTTACAATAACGAGAGAGCTTATGCGGTGGTAGAGTTCGTTAACTCGGACGTTTCTGATCCGATTACAGAAATTTTAAATTCTCTCCATCACGCGAAATCCCAATAGGATCTACAGAAAGTGGTCTCTCTCTTCCTTCGATTTCTAACGACACGAGGAGTTTAGACGAAACTCGGTAAAACAGCAAGAACTGTATCGGTCTGCGAGGGTTAAGGGACGGGGCGAGGGGTTGGGCAACGATTTCGAGAACGAGAAAGGAGAAAGAGGCCACGAACTACGAACTTTTCCTTCCTCTCGCTGAAAATACAGAGGAGGATGTACGTAGATCTCTGGAGGTGTTTCGTCCAATTGCCACTTTACGTACCGGCACATAGACGATTATCCACGCCTAAATTTCGCGTGGTTAGCGTATCGAACACGGCAGCGTAGATCGGAAACAAGGTATCGGCTTCTCCCAGAAGCATCTTAGAGCCGATGTCTCGGTAAATTGCTTTCCTTTACTGCCAGGCCTGAACGAGCTGTCGCTTCTTTCGCCTTTCTCTCCGTCGAGGCGTTTCTCTTTTTCTTTTTCTTTTTTTTTCCGTAGGTACGTGTACGAACGAGCATCGACAGACTGAGAAATCCGGTCGACGTTAATGGCTCGGTGGTTTTCTTTCGATTTCTTGCGGGTGTGCGCCGTGGCGGTAATTCGGAAAATCGATGGACATCTGCGGTAAACGTATTCGCACAGTTCCGGGAGAAAAATCATTTCGCAACGTAAAGTACGCGATAACTATTCTCGATGGAAGTTTGCAGCGGCGGCGCCGGAGGAGGAGGGAAATTTTCGTGAACTGGCGGACGCCTGCATACGATAAAACTCTGTGGTTAATAACTAGCCACGATAAAATCCAGGAAACTAATAATACGCGACAAATTCAAGCTTAAAGCGTAGATCCGCGGGGAAAAGGCAGTTGCGTCGCTATATTACTCGAAAATCGGTCCTCGGAGATAAATCTAGTCGCGTTTCTGCCTTCCGGGGATTTTCGAATGCCAGCGTTATAGCGGCGTCTGCTAAAACTTGGAGTTCCGTTACCGGATGGATCGTCTCTCTCTCTCTCCGCTCTTTTCTCTCCTTTTTGTCTGTTTTTTCTGTTGCGCACTATGAAAATTAGTCCGGCGCTGGAAGCGAGTTGTAATTTTTCAAAAGAAAGCTCGCGAAATATTATAGGGGGAACTAAAGGGTTGGCTCGAGCCGGATTATACGTTTCAACGATGCTTGTTTCATGCAGCTTCGTACTCGTTTCACCGTAATAAACGGCACGATCGTGCAAGATCCCTGTTTTTCGCTCATTTCCCAACAGTTGTCGCTTTCTTCGTGTAGGCAAATACAAGTTGACCGAGGACGAAGCAATCTTCTCGTTGGAGGAGAGTATTTTTAGCAACATCGATACCGCGCAGTTGCGTCGAGAGGACGGCTCGGAGGAAGCGAAAATCCAGTTGAAAGTTAGCGATAAATCGAACGGCTGAATTATCCACGAGGCTTTCGAATGACAAACGATAACGAGAGTTTACTACGCGACGATTCGCGAATTGCATCGGCGTACAGTTACCCCGCCGTAACGTCGGCTATTATCGTCGCAGCTTAGCTATTATTCTCGTTGTCACGGCTTCGAACGTGGTTGTATGACGCGTAGCGATACCCCTCGCTTCGACTAATGGATTCTACGAATTAGACGGCACCACATTGGTCACGGTGTTAGTTGTTGCTATCGCTTGCAACAACCTTAACGCAGCCAGGTTCGCAATGCTGATACATGTCTATTCTTTACATCTTTCGTCGAGGATTCCTTCGTTATCCTTCGAAATCGTCCTCGATTCGTGGCGTTCGACGCGAGATCGTTGTTCGAAGCAAGAATCACCATCCCTTTGATTTGGCAAAGAGAAGACGAAGAGGAAATTCTCCCGGTTCATTCCACGATATTTAACGCTTTGATTCGCAACTGTGTTTTCGAAGCACTCTTTCGACGAGCTTTCCAGCTACGAGGTAGGAGCGTTCAGTCGAAATGTAACAGCAGCCTACACAAAGATATCGTTTCGTTTCCGTTGACGCAGCACCAGCGGTTTCGCTTCTGTCTGCCAAAACGCTCTCGCAAGTCGTCCACATTTATCCCCGTCCCTCGGTGAACCATTATTTAATCAACCGAGTCGGTATTCCGTTGTCCTTTCAGCCATTCTAGCTCTCGTATCGTATGGACGTTGAAATGAAATCGGCGAGGTTGTTGCGAATTGTTAATTGTTCACGGCACGGTGTTAATATCTAGTAGATTACGTTAAGAAATGAACAACCGAGTTGTTTGCGGCTCGGTGAACATCGTTTTACGCGTAGATCCACCGACGGTTACTGATTGTCCTGTTATCAATTCAGATGTTCGCGCATGGGTCGATAACAATTACACCCGGACGCACCCGGTAAATTATTATCAAGCTGTCTGTCATTTCCATGAAACTATTAATCCAGTCACACTGGCAACATTGACGCGGCGATAAATCATCGAGGAACTCTTGTATTTTCTATGAATATCGATATCGATTTCACCTTTCACATTCATTTTTATCTACCCTTGGAATAAATCACCAATCGCATCCGATCGTCCAATCATTCTTTCTTTCTCTCGCTCCGAGATTTTTGTATCTTCGTGGCGTCGAACGTCTCTCTCTCTCTCTCTCTCTCTCTCTCTCTTGAAAAGTTCACCGTTTCTGCAAACATTCCGTCAACGATTTGCCGTCGACTCGTACGTTTTGTCGCGGTGTCGTTGGCGTTTTCGTCACTCCGCGTTACGGACGAGCAATCTCCGAAAAAGGTATTTATTCATCGAGATAAAGCGCGCGTTCCTCTGTACGTCGCGTCGTGGCAAATTAGGCGAGCACGATCGGGAAGAGAAACGACGTATGGACGTTGGCGAAGGGAATCGATGAAACGGAAAATGAGAATTTTTCGTGTTCCAGCGAGTTCTAGCAACGCGGCGTTCGCGTTAGTCATTGATTTCCCTGCTTCTCCGACGGGACCGCGTCCTATCCATCTACGAAAAATAGCTACGGGACATATTCTTGGGACCAAGTTTCCCAGAGGTGGCCGGTCAAAGACGCTCACAGAGCCGTGCTTTTGTGCACCGGGACATACGTGCCGCTATCCTCTTTCTTTTTCAAAGAATCCCTTTGACAGATAGCGAACTTTTTACCCCGTTGATCCCATCTCTCTTTGTTCTATCCCTCTCGACTGTTTCTTCGATATTCCGCGAGACAGAGAGGGACTCGTCTACGAAGATCATCTTCTTTAGTGGACACAATTCGAACGGCCAGAGTGAGAAGGTTTTCACTTTGCGTACGCTATACAGCTCTGTCACTTTAGTATTATCGTGTCTGTAATTCACTACGTGGTTTTCACTTTGCGTACGCTATACAGCTCTGTCACTTTAGTATTATCGTGTCTGTAATTCACTCGTTCGACGTATGGCCACGTCGATTGGAAAATTGGAAGGGCCGTTTTAATAACGTTGTTCCACAGTGATATCCGATTGGAATTTGGATAAATCGTAACGACAGTCAATCATCGTCGCTACGTTATCGAGTGTACGAAATTATTAGCAGAAACTGTAGTCACATGAAATGGATTAATTATAATATATCAAGTTTCTGTTTTAACCGGTCCTGGTTACATCCGATTACGATTATTCGCATGGTTATTGTACATGGTCGGCGTAAAAGCAAATATCGTGAAATATTTTCGGCGGGTATCTTTGCCATGGCATACTGTACATGCGTGCGTGTACGTGTGTACATATTTTTTCAGCACCGCACCGAGGTAAACGTTTCCTTTTTTCGTGATAAACAACAAAAGCTTTTTTCGTCTATTTTCCGACGGCTTGGCTTTCTCGCTTTCGAATACGCAGGGGTCAGGATTCGAGAGCTCGGGAAAGATTTATGTTCGGCGGGAGCATGGCTATCGTTAATTAGACTAATACGAAATCTCGATTATTTTTTTTCCTACCGTAACGCACGTCCTCGTTTCACCGCTCGTAACACACGTAGAAATAAACCGCAATAGTTTTTTCTTTTTACGCGTTGGCAGTTTTATCGATATGTGGGGCGAGCTCTCGCTACGCACAGGTATATGTCCGTCTTTAAATTTCCAGGTGCATCGTTGCCGTAGGAAAACTATGTGACGCGTATAATATCGGGTTAATTTCGAAAGCGATCATTCGTAGAGGTCCGAGTTACGGTGGTCGATGGAAAAAAACCGGGCATTTCCAAAGATTAATTCGTAAGAAACGGAACGCGTTGAAAGTTACGAGCAGCCGTGTCGTTGGCACGCCACCACGCCTGCTGCATTGTGTATTTTTTTCACTCCTTTTCCGTTCCTTCCTTTTCCTATTTCGTGAACACGCACACAGGCATACACGTACGCGAGAGGTGGCCTTTTTACGGAGAACCGACGCGACGGAGCGCTGATCCGTTGGAAAAAACCAAGGAACGTTCGATTCTCTAAAACATCAATTACTTTCCGTCCAACTGTTCGCCACTTTCCAAGGGGAACAAGTGCGCGGCTGACAAGGATTATGCGAGCTTCCGGAGTTTAGTTTCCCTTACTCTATCAGGCGTTCGCAACTTTCCCGGTTTGGATCTAAGTTGCAATCGGGAAAGTTACAGGGAAAAATGCCACAGTTTCCTCGCTAACTTGTCCGATATTTTCCTAATGAAAATCGATCGTAGTCCCGTGCACATGCTATCGCGCGCAATCTTGTCACCGCGTCTTTACGAATACGAGAATTTCAAACAAGTTTCGGGATCATTTTCTAGTCCCACGACGAGGGTACAGTTTCGAGTTATTGAATTATCCAGTGAAATTGCCGCAGGAGGTGTTGAACGCGCTGCTTACGGTGTCAATTCCTCCTCGGTTAACTATCCTCCGGTCATCGGGACCGAGCAACGTCGTTATGCTTTTCAGCCGAAATTCATTTGGGCAGAGCGATGTAACAGCAAACGAGTGGCCTATAATCTTGGCGGAAGTGGCAGGACACAGCTCGAACGAGCTTTTCCGTGTACTACTCGTTACGCGTTTGATCCTTGGGGCTGAACCACTTTCTCCTTTCTCTGTCTCTATTTCGGGGGAGAAGAAATGGTCCATAAGGCTTATTCAACCCTCGATCCTCAATTCCGAGAGCTTTCCCCCCGTGATAAAAAATTCTTAAGCCGGTCACGGGGGTCACGCGAACGATAAGTAAGTAGAGGATTACCATGCTGTTGAAAGATAGGGAAAAAACCGGTTTGTTTGCGAATGGTCGTTAAACGGGTGGCGAATTGGCGTCGTTTCGTAACGTCGAGAGAGTTGAAAGAGGGACGACGCACGGTGGTGCTGTTTCTTCAAAATCTGGTGAAAATTCAATTTTCCAAGTATATATGTATATATATATATTCCTTAGATATCGGCCGAATTTAAATTCTGCTTAGCACATCCGATTCTGATGTCTCCGATCCGATTCTTTATTTCAAACAACACAGTCGTAATTAAGAATCGGAAAATAATGAGTTTTCACAAAAATTAACTTGAAAACAACGTCTATACCAGTGATATTAGATCCTCCAGATTTTCGAATTCTGCAACTCGAAAAACGTAAGAACGCCAATTTTGACGAATATCGTACGAAATTAGCAGTTTTGGCCAGCTTCTCGAGAAATGGCACCACTGTGCAATCGAAGCATCGTTTCGCCTTCTTTTTTCTCCTTCGGCGATAATACGGCAACCTTCCTAATAACGCTATAAGAGCCACCTGAATTTACAGAGATGCAGTGGCGGAATAAATTGGACCGTGAATGGAAATCGGGAAACGGGACGAAGTGAAGGAGGCAGCAAGATTCGAGTGGGAGAGAAGAAAAGTAGGGGAGGAGGAGGAGGAGGTAACGAAGAGAAGCGCGTAGAGGCGAATTTATTTCGAAAGTACTTTCTTACGCCTTCTCGTTCTAAGGTTATTCCCCTTCTCGAGTATCGTTATCGAAACGTCGTTATTTTTATTCCTCTCAGGTTGGAGAGAATTGGATTCGAGAGAACGTTGACAAGGTGAGCATCAATCGTTCCGGTTCGTCTCGTTTTCTCTCCGAGTAGTGTCGAAAGTTGCGTCGTTGTTTCAGTTCTTCGAAACCTTTCGCGTTCTCTCGATGTATCGCTCCTCGTTAAGGGGCGATCAAGTACGTTTACAACGTGGAACATGTAGGTACGAAAGGTATGCGATACTCACATTTTTGATGGTCCTCTTGAGCTGCTTCGAAGCCTTCCACCAGGTTAAGACAGCCGGTGGCTTCGATCCCGTGCTCTGACACCTAGTCTCGTACTTCTTCCCCGCCGAGAGAATCTTGTCCTTTCCCGTAATTTCCACTTTGAGCGGTTTCACTGCAAGCATTCGCAGACGTCGATTAACCGATATTCTACGATATTGTGGAATTAGAAATATAGATAGATGTTTATTAACAAAATAGATGAACAATTCTACTCTACTCACGCCCCTTGACTTTTCCAAACACACTGTCCTTCCGTCCCTCGCACGCCGTACTTTATAGCCAGGCCGTTCGTGGGCCTCTCGTCGCCGGGGTTTTTCCCGTTGGGTTTGGCTATCGCCGTAAATTTTCTTTCAAGTAAGCGTGCAACGCGAACACTTTCGCATCGGCGAACGGTTTTCCGCGATAAGCGTTATCTGGCGCGATAATTGAGTCGAAAGCATTTCCCGTTATCCCTCGGAATAAAACAGAAGCGGTAAGAAACGAAGGAAAGAAAGAAAGGGGAAGCTTATTAAACGAAGCGGAACGCGATAGCGATACGTAAACGTAGAGTAGGGGCGGCGCAAAGAGGACGGTGCTCGCGAAACTTTTCGACCCGGCCATCGGGAAACTGTTCCGGAGGCGAGATTTTCAGATTGGACGGGCAACTTTGGCGAACACAAGCTCGCTTAATCGTCCGGAATCTCTCTGATCGTGTCACCCTCGTGACTCTGTGACGCTTTCAGCTTAATATGTCCTTGTTAGCTGTTTCTCGTTGTTTCGTTTCCCTCTGTATCAGTTGAATTTCTGTTCGATTAGGTGGTCGATTTTTCGCCAGCGCGGAAAACACGTCGATGAAAAATAACTAGTTGTCTAACGTTGAATTTCACGGTGGATCGAGGGTAGACAGGGCGCTTTCAACGAGGGGCAGGTCTTGGCTCGTTATTAATTAGATGAGACGAGATTGCGGGCATGCGGCTGGCCAACGGGAAAATAACCGGGTATTAATTAAACGTTGGCGCTCGGTGTCGAAAATTGTGCGCGGACGACAACCGGAGAGAACAGCGTAGCCATTCCTCGTTACCGGCCTTTAATTATCCGTCATTGTTCGCGGCTGTTAAAGCGTTCGTCATTCCGTGCCTACGCGTTTCCGTCCTCGGCAACTTGCCGGGTCGAGTCTTTCAAGCAGGTCGATTAACGATCGTGGCGGACCGTTGGTTTCCGGGGCTCGTGTATACAGCGGTGGAAGAGCCATCGGAGAAAAGTTTCTGGGTCGGCTCGTTACGAAGCCACGGTTCGTTTTGCCGTTAGAAAGATTTTGATCGTTTCGCAACTTCTTCGACTTTAGAGCCGGTGGAGATAAATACAGTGGAAGGCGACCGCGCAATCGCGCCTCCGCGACCAAAGATTTCCAACTTTTCTCGCTGATTCCTTTGCAAGACCTCGGTGAAACTTCCCCCGAGACGTAAATTTGCACAGCGACCGAACTCTCTGGGTCCTCGGACCGCTTGAATAATCATCCTCGCTTCTTCCGTCTTCTAACCTGCTCCCTTGCAGTTTTTTCTTCCTGTTACCAGCGCTATTTCTTTTCGAACCTGCGTCGAATTTATAGTTGAACGGACGGTGCGCTGCCGGCGTTCCGTACAAAAGTGATTATCCGAAAGTGGACGAAAGGGGAAATTTATATTTACCATTTGCCACGCGCTTCCGAGACGCGGAGAAAACTGGAAGGAGAAACGACGCGTTTTATGCAGAGGACCGTGGCGTCACTCTAGCTGCCGGGTGAAAATTGTGTCAGAGCCAGACTACACCGCGAACAACTTTTTTGTTCTTCCCTGTCCACACAATTCTGATGTACTTACTGATCCTGACAGTTTCGTGTGTTTCGGAACACCGGTCCCGTTCGCTGTCCAAACAGAAACTTTCGCACACCTCGACGGAAATTAAACGAAGATCGTAATAACGATCGGAGCGGCTAGAGAGACTTAACATTTGCCTATTTTTATACAAAGGACACGAACGAGTTTCCCTCGTACACGATTTTTCCCTGTTAAATCGATCGAAAAGTGTTCTCGAATCTGGGGAAAAGTTTCGGAGGATGAGCCCCGCGGTAATAGAGATCGATGAGGAGAGTAGGTGTGCGGAACAGGTTGGAGAAGATGGAGCATAGGTGAGAGGCGCGGTGTGCGGTGGAGAAGGGTGCGCGCGACAAGAAAAAAACGTCCGTGTAATTAGAACTCGTAGGGAGCTCGAGCGAAAACAAAAACAGCCGGAAAATTACTGCCGGTAAAACTCTGCGGCGAAGTTGAAATTTAATTTGTAAATCAAAATTCATGTCGTCGACCGGAGCAGACTGCGAAGAACCGTGAATTTGGCTCTCGTTTTAATATCCCGCGCCACAGCCGCGAGATAATCTTTACGCCTTTCTTCCTCTCTACGGCGGCGTTACGCAACCGTGTTTCCTGTAATTCTCGTTTTAAATTCATCCGAATCTCTTTGTATGCCAAAAAAGGGAAGGGAGGAGAGAAGAAGGAGAAGTTTGCGCACGCGTCTCCGACACTTTATTTCCACGTTTTATACGGGGGTATTTATGTTTTTAATATGTTTAGCAAACGGTGTGCTCACCGGCGGGGGAATAATGCTCGCGACGGTATAGAGGGCAGAAAAAGAATCGAGGAGAGGAGTTTAAATGGCTGGTTCGTAGATTAAGTTGGTTAGTTGTGGAACGAGGGAACATTAGAGAACGGGCCGTATGCGCCGATCCTGCGAATTGTCGACTTAAGTGAAATTTCACCGAGACTGGCTGCGATTCTAAGTGATATTATTGGCATAATTTGGCAAAGCCGCGGCTCCTGCTCGCTAACCTCGCGCCGCGATCCAATAAAGGTTTCTTCGGGAAACACGATCGCGAGGGAAAGGTCCGATACGTTTGGTGGCTTTGCTAAACCTTCCTCGGATAGTTTATGCAAATCTGGCAAACTTTACCGGGATCTCTGGCACGGATGTTAAAAGTTAATATCGGCGGTTGTTTAATTTCCATCGATGGAAATTCCGCGATTCTGATACCCTGTACTTGCTACTTGCCTCGAAACTGGGTCAAGTTATGTATATTTTGGTTCGTCAAGGGGATACGCGTTTCGCAACGATCCGTCGAAAAGCAGGGCAGTGTTATTAGCTCGCCGCGAGTTCGGTTATCAGCAGCTAAGAGTTACATCGAGGAAGTTCCTTCGTCTCGAGAGTGGTTGAAAGCCTTCCGTTCTTGGTTGCCCTGGTCCGAAAGTACTTCTCAGAGTCGTTACTCGCCGTTTGCGACTTCGTGGATCCGCAAATATCTCCAGTTTCATTCTATTCGTGAAATCGTTCTGCCCTTGCCCCTTTAAACCAACTTGGCTTACGAGCCAGTCTTGATCTTTTCGATCGTCCGTCGGCCGATCACCGCGACTCGTCCTATTCTTTTTCTTTCTTCCTAGTTGCTGTTTGTTTCTCTCGGTTTTATCACCGAGAACGAGATCGAACGCTCCACCGATAAGGGAAGAAACGTAGGTAAAGAAAGGAAGATGGAGAGAATGTCCGATCATTGCTAGGTGGCTACTACTTGCGAGTCGGATAATGGTTAGCCGTCTGATTCTTGAACGACTCTTACCTCTTCCGTTAATGTTCGTCTGGTATGAAAGGCTAACGAGGAAAAGAGGTTCGTTAATTTTCTTACTAATTAAGGGGAAATCGATAACGGTGAATTGATCGGTGCAGTTTTCCCGAGAACGAGATTTCTTTGTTGGTCGCGTTGAATGTAAAAGCAGAAGAACGAGATTCCTCGACTTGTTATCAGAGTCGAGTAATTTTCTTAGGGCCGATGAAAAGTCCCCCTAATTTAAGATTACTCCTTCGTTCCCTCGCCACCTTTTTTCACGGCGTGTAACAGTCTTATCGAATTATACGGAAAAATATGCCCAGATGTGGCTGTCCGATACGGAAATATGCAGATGTATTCGATGCAAATGGCAAAGAGTCACTCGAACCGGGTGCATTTTTGGTCGAAGGGGGACGTGCACCCCGGCTCTGTCTCTTCGCTTCGTTAGAATTTCAACTGTATCGATCAAGAATCCTCGAATTATTCAACGTACACTTGAACGGTCGTGCCTCCAATTAGTCCTTGTGAGATTAATGGAAAGAGGGGGACTTTTATTTTCAACCCAGACTACGTTTCACGCGACGGAATAACAAAACTGTCGGTCGGTTCGAATGGAAGGCAACCAATTCTTACCGGATCGACTTGGAGAATTTCACAATCGGTTTCTGTCCAGCTACGTCCACGTTAAACTGTTCCCGAAGCCCGCGCTGGCTCCCTAAATTCGTTCCTGTTGTTCTTCCCCTTCTGATGATGATAGTCACACGCGTGCATCAGGGTAGAAAGTTAACCGGTCCGTAGTGGAAGAGGAAGACTGGTGAAATATTTGTCGAAATATTTGCGAGGAATTATTAGGCGAGTTGCCTTGGTGTTGGTGCAAATGAACGATCCCCGACCGAGGGTGTGCAATCGATTCTCGTGCGCGCGCGTGTCTGCCGTCCAGTCGGCTCTCCAACTCGTTAGACTTTCAAGTAGTTGAACGGAGTGCCCTTCGATTATTCGCTGCGCGCCTCATCTAACCCGGTCCCAATTAACGAAGGATCGAGGAACCGAGTTATCGGCAGAGTTTCGATGTTTCGTTGGAACGCGCCGCGCCGCGCCGGATAAACCTGGAGTGGTCGTTAGAGATCGCGGAAGAAAAATACCAGCGGAGGAAATTCTCCAGCGGTTAACTACTCGACGCGATGTCGCACGCCAGCCTCGTCTGCTCCTCCTATCAAACGGGGATTCAAGAACGAACGAACGGTTAAAGAGTACGAGCGGCGCGATGTTTGTCTTCCCTTGTACCGTACCGAGCACGTAGTGAAGTTGCTCTGATACAGCGGCGCGCCTTTTTCCAAGTCGTTGAGTATTTCGACGGATACCTCGAACGAACCGCGATTGTCGTCGTTTCACGTGGTGAATGGACGCGTCATACTTGTATACGACGCGCGGTGCTCTACCGTTTCGAGTGGGTGAGAAAGTTTCGGGTGACTCGGCTGCTTTGTGACTATTCGCTGTCTGAGAATTTGGTGTCGCACTTCAAAGGAGTCACAGAGGTGTAACGTTATATACTCGGCGAGAGACTTTCGCAGCTGAACGTGGGAGTTTCGCTGGGAAATGATAATATCACCGGTTCCTCTTTACTTATCTTAGTTGGCCAAGTATGTAATACTTTGCGAACCGGAAATCTGCTCGGGAAGATTCCTGTTACCGGTGAAACATTTACAGGAGGAAGGAGAGAGAAGGTAGCTGGTGGAAAGTTTCCCCCTTTTTGGCGAATATTTTCTGACCGGTTTGAAGGCGGTTTTCAGTTAGCGTGTATTTCCCAAGCGGCTCTTTTACATTAGCGCCGCACAGCTTCCTTCAGAATTACCCGCTTCGGTTTCTTCCTGTATCCGTCGGCCGGCAAGATTTTCCGTCGCGGGCAATTTAATTTAAAGTTGTTTGTTCGGTGGAAAAGTTTCGCGCGCGATGAATCTCGAGCGAACCGACGACGAGCCGGTGCTTATGAAATTATTAATATTAATTTCCCGCGTCGACTTGAAGTCTGCAATCGCTACCAGCACCGCTGCGGCCGGTCCGGGGAATTTTTAATCGGATCACGAACTACGGAAACTCTTAATCCTCGCGAAGAATCCGAAAAGAGTCGGAGAAAGCTGGTCGGCCGGGGAATCACTTTGAATTTTCAAGAAGAGATCGATTCCTCCGATGGAACGAAGATGGGATTGGACGCGGTATCGATAGCGCGAAACGTTTCCAAGCGGGTTTAATACCGCCCGGTGAAAAACGAGGATGATACCGATTCGCTGGCCTCGCCCCGGGGCTCCAGTGCCGTGATACATCGCCGGCCGTATTTTTTCCTCTTTCTCGATCGCTAAACCACCGGTCTGGCCAAAAATTAATTCCATTTTCTCCGAGAAAACGGTAATCCTGCTGGAGCCAACTGTTTACAGGCGGGCGGCAATTAAGACCGCGAGATGCATTTACCCGGTGGGAATTTTTCAACTTTTAACGCTTCACGCATTCCTTTTCGATCAGTTCAATTGTTCCGGGAATCGCGATAGATGGGTGTTTCGTGTCGGCTCGCCGAATCGTTCGCCGGTCGTTCCCCCTTTCGACGCATACGTGTGTACGTATCGTATACATATGTATGTTCGTATTCCATAAAATTTAATTGAACATCGCTGCGGGTGTACCGCATCGTATTGGTGTACGCGGCTCGCCATGATTCGGACAATTTCAGGCAATTCCAGAAGTAACGTTATTAATGACATCGAACCCCTGATTGCCTTTCGGCCGTGATTCCCACTCTTCCTCCTCGCTCACGGACGTGTCTCTGTTTACGTAGCGATCGTTTGAAAAAATGTTTCAATTTCATCTCGTCGAGATCTAATATTGCCGTTCTTTTTTTCAACTTTGGAAGTTTGTCCATTTCGACGGGTCGCGGGCACGGGTGCGAGCGGCTTCCGGGGGGCGAAAAAATTCTTGGCCGGACGCGCGACCGGTTAAATATTCGACCCTCTTCGCCCCGACTCGATACGAAAAAATGCCCGTACGAGCGCTCGATACCCTTCCTCTCTCGTCTGAAGTACTCTGGTCGCTTTCATTCGATGCGCGATCACGTGTAGGAAAGTTGCAAAAAAAAAAAAAAAAAAAAAAAGGTTCGTTCCATTTGAACGGGTATGTGTCGGGTGAACGGGTACAACGAAACCTCTGTGGCGGCGGGTCAAACATTCGAGTTTCGAACGAAGCGATTTCCTGCTTCACGGGTAATTAGGGCCGTTAATTATTGATCGTTTCATTAACATAACCGGGTCGGCTTTCACGGCTCGATGGAGGGACAAATTACCTACTGTTCTCTTAAACAGATTAAGCGACGTTATTGAAATCTTCGGCCTTTTCTACTGCCGGTTAATTGCAATGCGGCATTGTCCGCGTTATCTCTCTCGATTTAAATTTCTTGGTCGTGCAACGATAGGTATAATTAGCGGTACTGGTAAGCAACGGATCCACTTACTGTGAAGCTCGATGATGACGGCAGTGGTGGACGGCAGTGCTAAATGAGTATTGCTCGCCTTGCAGAACAGTTTGGCATGGTAGTGGCTCCTCGTGAGACCATGCAGCGTCACGTTGCTTATGGTTACGACGTTGGTTTCACCTCCTGGCCCTTGGGTCTCTCGAATCTCTGACGGCGCATCGATTATTTGCGACTCCAGAAACCATGCGACTCGGGGTCTCGGTTTACCTAAATCGAACAGACCAGTCATCTTAGAACGTATCAAGGGCCTAACTTATGCATTTGCAAATTCCCTTCTCCCTTGATCAACCAGGCGTCTCTAACTGTTTACCGGAGAGTAACTCCCCTTTACCTTTCGGTGAATTCTGGCCGCGTAAAACGGGAAGAACGGTTGGGGAAATGGTGGCATTGCGAGTGAATCCTTTCGCCTGCGAACAGAGAGACGCGAGGCGTTCTCTCTCGCTTATCCGTAGCAAACAGGCTGATTGTCGGCTAGGACAATTGAAGCAGGTGGACTAATCTAGGTAGACGGCGCATTCGTGTCTACGAATGTGTATCAGAGGCTGCGAGCTATTCGTCAATCACGTCGCCCGACGGTTCCTACTTGGTCGCAACAATAGCGATCTCAATGGAGACCGCTCGACGTCTACTCGTCAATTTATTGGTCCCGATGTACCGCCTGCGTGGCTACCTAATTCCCTCAGGTTAATTATTCGCGCAAACGTGCCGTTTAGAAATCGGCAAACGTTCAGGCTCGTAATTATACACCACAGCCTCCCGAGGCACTGCACACCGCGGGTACCTTCTACCATACCGTACCGTACCAACGAAGATATTACATTGTTGCTACGATTCCGATGAACCCTAATAGCGGGTAACACAGTTTCACGGCGAAAGCGTATACAGGCGAGCGAGTCAAGTGCTGGTTCATTTCGAAAGCGAATTATGCGCTAGGAGGAGGAACGCGACGGGTAGGGGCCGGTAAAGTGACAGGGACGAGGGATCGTAGGGGGGAGGAAGCAGAAGGGTGGAAAGAGGGATCGAGGGTGAGTGTCACACGCTCTCGACTTTCCGGTGCGCGTCGCCGGGAATTATTTCATTGCTTCTCTGAGAGCGGAAGTAGAAAATGTGGAAGTAAGGGACCGAGGGATTGCCGGAGGAGAACCGGAGGATCTTTATTGCTCTCTCCTCTTCCACCTGGTATCGTGGAGGGAACAGGTACGATATATCACGGTGGTTCGCGGGCTGGATACCGCTCGGTTGTAATAGTGTTACGCGACACCCTAGCATGCACAATAAGAAAGGAATTTTAGTGGCTCTCGAGTCTGGCTCCCGGGTATACTTGCCGGAAACGATATAGCGAGGTCGTTAATTCAAGCGTTAACCAGCGGCACCGATTGACGTACCCGCACTCAGGACCGTGCGCCATTTCTCAATTGCTATTTCTAATTTCTGCTTGGAATCTTCAATGTCTCAATTGTCGTATCGGCGAAAATGAACCTGCAGCTGTTAATTTTTAAACACGCTGCAACGGGAAGAGCAATTCCGAGCTCTGAACGAGGCTCCAACTCCTTATCTCCCTCACACGGCCGTTTCGCCGGTTGAATTACGCGTCTATATCGCTCCCACCGACTGTACGTTTCACCTCGTTAAAGGGAAGCGGCCAATTTCTCTGTAATTTCGACTCCCCCGCGATAGGTAAACCTGGAAATTTAGTAATTTTGACGAACAATGGCGTTGGCGAGTGCCGCACCGAGAGCTTTCTAATAATACTGCTAAGCTTTACCGAACTTTCAAGATTTGTCTCAAGCGGAGCAATTAGCGTTTGCCGCGAATAATAATCGTTCTCCACCTTTGAATAGGCCTTTTGATTTTCCGCTGACGTTCGCCCGAAATTCCCCTTGCAGTTTCCCTCTATTTGCCTTGGCGGAACTTGCTTCGAAATCAAATACCGATTCGTCGGGTAAATTCTCCGCGGTTTCTTTTCGTTTGTTTTGTTGCCGTATTTGCGGCGAAGCTCGGAAAGAGCTGCGATAGTAAAGATCACGTGGGAAACAATGAAAGAGAAATTCAGCACGGTCCGTGGTTGCGTCTAGGCGTGTGTACAGTACGTCCTACGTGTAAGTAGACGGATAAGGGGAAGAAATAGCGTTACCCCGTGTGTCACGTTAAAACAAACACTTTACCTCGGAACCGGTGTAAAATTACTTTCGCGGTGACGTTTCAACAATGCCCGGGCAATGTGCTGTAGGTGGAGAAGGGTGATGCGTGGAAAGGTTTGAAGACACGCCACATTGTGTGGCGAACAATGCGTGATACAATAGGCGTCTCGCTTAGCTGCGTTAAGCTCCTTGATTGCACATCACCGATCGCAGTTACCACCTTATTCACGCTAAACAGCCATTCTTCGACTTAACGACGGTCGATTAATTCCCAAAGTGTCTATAGCTCTCGAAGGTGAACGAGCTATAGACAACGCTCAACCTCCGATTTTGCCACGCTCTCACTTAAACCGGCACACTTGGTCGAATTCTATATCCCGATAAAACGGTCTACCTGGCACATCTCTACGTTTTCAGAGACTACGGTGTAGTTTGATATTACGTATGGAGGGTGAAAGTACGACACGTTTTGCGTCGCGTTGGACAAGCCTGTTTCACAAGCGTGTTTCAGTTCGGTTTTCACTGCGTTTCGTAACGTTCGACAGCGTCCAATGTTGACTGAAATCAAAGAACGCTCCGCCGTGAAGTGAGTTTTTGCTCCCCTTTTGTTTTACCGCCGCGGACAGGGTGACAAGACTGGGAAAGTATTCGCGGGAAAAGTTTCTTGGTGGAAAAAAAGCCTGGTTCTGTTCCAACTAACGAGCAAAGTAAACGTACAGTCGCCGAAATTTTCGTGCGGTAGGTACTTGGAGAAGATTGTTTCGAGGACGTTGCGGGAGGTGTCGGTAAATATTATTCTCGGCGTTGGTGGATCGTTGAAATTTATTAGACTGGTTGAAGCTCCGAGGCACTGTTAACAAGGAAAAGCAGATTTCAACTTCTTTTCCCAGTATCAGCAGTTTTCTAGGTAAACAAGCGAGAGTTTGGGTTTGTTGGGAAATGCAAAGTATGGCTTTCAGCGTGCTCGTAAAGCAAGAAGAAAATATAAATTTGTCGAAAGTTCCATAGGTCTCCGGCAGTCGTTATTGACTCGCCCGCTGTTCGGCTACTTGAGAGTTTTGCCGACAATGCGAACCTTTCGTTCCGACGCGATGGGCTACCTGCACGCGCGTACGAGCGATTGGAAGTTGGTTTTCCCGTCGAGTGACAAATCGCTCGTCCATAGAACTGCCGGGTTTAATTCGGTTAAATTATCAGGGCGTAATTTTAATCAGAGGAGAGTGGGACGCGAAGAAGAGGGGAAAAAGTTGCTGGTTGAATTGAAATTCTGTAGAATGTGGTTCACTCGTTAATATTCGACGTTCTATTATACCCTGTAATATCAGACGTAATATAACGAAAGTTAAACGTTCGGGAATGTTGCTCGGGTGGAAAGTTGCATCGACGTTAAACAATGTACAGCGTGGCTCGAGTGGACTTTGAGTTGATCGGCGGAAAAGTTGCAGCGAACGTTTCGCAATTGTACGAACAGATTTTTTCTTGGCTAATGATTAGCGCGGCGTCGAAACGGATAATTCTCCGTCTCTAGTCGTGGCTCGTGTACCGAGGGCGATAGTTTTCAAGATTAACATTGGCGTAGATCCAGAGGATTGCGACACCTAGCACGCGAGGAGTCTTGGAAAAACCGAGTTTCGACTCTTCTTCGTTTCCTCTTCCTCCTCGTCTAGTTCGCATCGTACTTTCTTCGAATAAGCGAATGCCGGGCTGTAAATGGAATTGGCCTAGCGCCAGTGAATACTCGTACTCGGTTCGAGGAAATGGGATTTTTCGTTGGGTACGTAAGATTCGAAAGACGTTTCTGCATCCCACGCCGCGATTTACGCGTGAAAAGCTCTCCCCTGGCTAAACGTCGCGTCGCGGTAGACGTTACATTTGCCTTTTTGTCGCAAGAGAAATTCAAGGATCGAAGCGTCGATGGGGGGAACGTTGTATTTTTCGAGGAAATTTCGTGCTTGGATATCGCCCGCCAGCTTTTCATACACGATGCGCAGCCACTTATAATAATTCATCCCCCTAATCGGTTGGAAGTAATTTCTAGCGGCGATCCATTATTCCCGGTTTTCTAAAGGGAAGCTGGAGGCGGGGTTTAGCCGGCGGAGTTCTGGCCAATTAATCCGCGCGAACGGAACACAGCGACAGATTATTTTCTGGCGAAACAAATGGCAACGTGCCGGCTCTGAAAGGTGGCGGTAGATGCGGGTGTGCAAACGGTACCGGCATTTTCTAGGGTAACTACGTTCACCCTGGTCTCTCGTTAATCTCGAAAAACAAAGGTTGACACTCACCTCCGTGAACCTCGCAGACGAGGAACAGGTCAGCTCCTTCGGGGTAGGCCTCCAGGAGTTTGCTCATGTCTCTTCTCTTCGCGTCGTAGATGATCGGCTTGGCTGGCGGTACTGGAAACAGAAAGGAGAACCGAGACGAGTGGAGATATCGCGAGGATAGTTGTTCAGATATACGCGGAGAAAACGGAAAGAAAAGGCCGCTAGGAAAATAGCTTCCACTCGACCCTTCCTAATATTCCTCGGACACAGCTGGAATAAACGCAAACTTGTCGCGACAACGTCAAAGGGGAATGGAATGATTCGAAGAGAAACGAGAAAAAGATGGAGGAGCGAAGTTTCCTAGTCGTTAAAATACCCTGTAAATACAGTTTGTCGATATAGGAAGAAGCTCCGTGAATTATGGAGCAAAGTGTTTTGCATAGGACTGGCCTCGCGACTCGAGTGTGCACGTTCCAACCCTTCCCCGCTTCTGCTTTACAAATAGGCAACTGTACACTCGACAATGGAAATTATTTGTTTCCTCGCAAACCTGTCGTTTGCCAAACAATCTCGAATTCTTTTCGTTACGTGGTCGTTTCAACTATCGACGATCGTGCCGCGGTTCTTAATCACGTCGCGATCCAACGACACGGCCGTAAAATCGTAAGAAGCGAGGACTCGCGAGGAGAGACGGTTTCCAAGCATTTCTCTTGCTCCGTGTTCGTTCTTTCGAAATGATTGCCTCTTTGCCGTCGATACGAGCTAGCCGGAGAAGGGCAACAAAGGGAACGATTCGCCGATCCCTTAAGGAAGTGTGTGCACCAACAGACGGACGTTGTAACCTCGTCCGAGATTACACCGAGATTGCCCAAGACGACGTTTAGCAGCGCTAATGCCAGCATTCACGACCTTTAATAGCGCGTTTATCCCCCGTCTCGGCCCATTTCTCTCCTCTCCTTAAAACGCAACGTTCCTTGCACCGGCCATTGTTCTTCCGACAACCGAGTCGCGTTTCCCTAGAAAAACAGCATTCCATTCCTATTGTCTCGAGTCGAGCGTTCAATTTTCCCAGCGAATATTCCCCTCCTTGGCCGAGTTGTTGCTCTTTGGACATTCGCGCGTTACTCCCGATTTCGCGTAAACAGTTTTCCAGCCTCGTTCCTCCCACCGTATTTCCTGCTTTCCAGTATCGACGCGTTCCCTCTCGCTGACAACCAACCTGCGCAAATTCGACGCGTTCGCCACGATCCGGAAGATTCACTCCGTATCGTAAGAATTGGTGCGTAACATTTGGCACGATTGAACTGGAGAATCGTGTCTAGTTTACCGGGTAAGGTTTTCAAAGCCACGGGAAATGGAGTAAACCCCTAGGGGGCTACGATTTACACGGTTTCGCGTGTTTCCGAAGTCGGAGGAACGGGGAGTGCTCGGGGAAAAAGGGAAATAAACGCCAAGATTGGTAGGTGGAAGGGTGAGTGGAGATAACGTACCTTCCGTTGGCGCAAATTCTGCTCGACTCGAGCCGGAAGACGCGATTCACGGGACATGGCCGTTTCGCGCTGGTCGCGTCGTAAACCGGGGATAGAGCCACGGACTCGCGCCTTTTACGTTCTTCCGCGTGTACCGGCACGCAGAGAGACCCTCTGGCGAATTTCGATCGTAAACTTTTATACCCGGTTGCGTTACGTTTAAAAGCCGTCTCCTGCCTGCCGAAAAGATAAGAAGAAGGAGAAATTACGTTGCTAATCCGACGACCGTTCGGCGAAATACACCGTTTAATACCGTTTAGGGTTACCTTTGCCAATCTCTACAGGTTTCTCCGCTGTTAAAAGCCAACCAACCGGGTACTTTTGGGATAAAATGTATCCCAACGCGTGCCGTTGAACCGTGCAATTATTCTTTCTTTCATCGCTTTCACCGCGATAGCGTGATCCGGGTAGAAAAAGGCAGGGACAATCGCGAAAGAAGCTTCCCTTGCGACAGGTTCCAACGACACCGTGTACACGGTGGCACAATAGCTAGCGCAGAGATATCCGGTGGACCGAGAAAATATATTGCTAATAGGGTTTGCAACACGGCCCGTTAGTCGAGAGTAATGCCTCACCGCGGCCGATATAGGTTAAGCTCGTTTAATGAACTTGGCTTGCCTTCTCGCACGTTCGTTGCCTTTTTCGCCCCTCGACCAACCCCTCACAGGGCATCCGTCAGATTTATCGATTTACACGCACGATGTATCACGCACTCGTTTCTCTCGAGCTTTAGTTGCCTCTCGAACCGTTTCACTTTCGTTTCGTTCCTCCTCCTCCTCCGCGTATCCGCGCAATCTTGCAGAGAAAAGAAGGACCTCCTCTTGCTCTTGCTCGTTAATTGTCGCGTGAGAAGTTCGTCGGCACGTTTCATCTCGTCCTGACGTTATATGGAATATCCGTTCGGCCGAAGAACAAGGAGAGTGGACGCACGGACAAGAATACAGAAGCTAGGAAACTGCGCGCGGAAGTGGATCCTAAGGTGCGATGCCAGTCTCGTCACGTTCGACGAGTTCACCGGATCCTTGGAACCGCTAACGTCTCGTCTTGTTCCTTATTTCGTCGAGTAGCTATCTACGTACATACATGTACAGCGCGACGTTCCCATCAGTTGCGCGCGCCCCTGTACCGTGTCGTCGCGTCGCCACGATCCGACCACCATTTGTTTACCCGACCGTGCGTGCCTGTACACGCGTGTATATGCGTGTGTTTCAACGAGAATATTCAAGCACGACGTGTAGAGGCATCTATACCTAACTCGAGGCTCTGTATAGCAGTTGCTATGCATAGGTGTAGCTAGGTATAACTTGGCGAGCAGCTATCTCTTCCTCGCCACGATCCGGATGCACCATTTGCGGGATATTCTCCAACGCTATTGGGCCACGACGTGCTCGATCGCATACCTTCCACCTCGGCGCACCTCGGCACGTAGATTTAAATCCGCCTGACCCCCCCTATGACAATTACCAAAAGCAATTTATTCGACAATCCGATTTATCCCCCTTTCCCCGGTTCTTTTTTCTTTCTTCTCTTCTTCCAAGAAGTCGTCCCGAGAGTCTTTCAGCATTTGCTTTCCAGTCGGTTGAATCTTCCCTCTGCCGTGCAGGCGCGATGGAACGCTTCAAGAGTGATTAACGAATAAAGTATCGGCTTCCGGTTTATCTATCGCAGCTTAGGCGCGAGGGACGCCTTGGTCTATCGGCGAAGAATACGTAAATACGGTCACGGGTGTATTAGTGCATTACTAACGGTATTATCCGGGAGGAAGTTATCGGGAACGGCGCGTAATGCTCGCGATATTTCAGAAATTACGAACATCGCCGTATCGCCGCATCGCCGCATCGCCGCCTAATTTTAGGAACGATATTTTTCTCCTTCTCGTTGCTTTCCTTACCTATCGATTAAATATAACATGCTCCCTCTTTTTTTCGATTATTTCACCGCGATTCGATACCTGTCACGGTAATCGAGAGAAATTTTTTAGCCACGGTCGGAAACATTTTCACGGTATTTCGAGGGGAACGGTTGGAAAATTTTTATTGAATTTTGCGTCTGGCGCGCGACACAATTGAACTACGTAGGCTGAATAAATCTGGCTGCAAAATATCCGGGACTGATCGTCGAACTTTTATCGATAAACGCGATACCAAAACGGTTCGATTGTTTTTCCGCTCATGATCTCTACGAAACTGGCTGCTAACTAGTTTTTAAACGCGGTATCGAGCGAAAGAAAGGTGCGGCACGAATCGACAAAGCGAACTTGCGGGCAGTCGGTGTTCACGGTGACTGTACAACTGTACCCGCGTCATACGCAACTGCTCTCTGTCGTTGCAACCATGAATTTTTCCTCCCAGCCATTTATAACCGTTGTAACGCTTTCGACGGTGTTTCAGGGCTCGTTTTATATTTCCACCTTTGCTCCCTTTCGTTTTTAAAAGTGGTCGCGTGGCCTGTTGAATACGTTTCCGTCGAACGGGTGATATTCGGTAGATTAAGTTTCTTCCCTCAAGGTTTTTCCCCCGGTGAACAATTCGCTTACGTTAAGCAAAATGTCGATAGGGTGGGAGGTGCGCGCAGCTTGGCAAAGAACACCTCTAGAAGCACGGAAAATATTCGGACGTTTGGAAATCTATTGAATTACCGG